TCCCAAGCGAGTTCTTAACCATCGCGCCACTCGGCCGGCCCGAAATTATAATATTTTTAATAAATGGTGGTGGGTCCGTCAAATATCTTTAACGGGAAAAAAATGTATCTTAACCCCAATCTCAGACCACAAAATAAAACAATTCCAGATGACTTTAGATCTAAAATGAGGGGTAAAACAATAAAGCTTTTGGAAGAAAATATTGGAGAACATCTTCATGACTTTGAAGGGGAAAAATACAATTTTTTTTTAAGATTTTTTTATTGGGGAGTTGGGGAAGGGAACAGTGTTGGGGAATTGGGGAAGGGAAACACTGTGTTTTTCCAGGACCCATCAGCTACAAGTCAAGTTGTTGTCCTTTAATCTTAGTTGTGGAGGGCGTAAGCTCAGCTCCAAGTCCAGTCGCCGCTTTCAATCTAGTTGTGGTTGGGGTGCAGGCAGTGTGGTGGGGTGCAGCCCACCATCCTATGCAGGAGTCAAACCACAACACTTGTTGTTAAGAGCATGCACTCTCACCAGCTGAGCCATCCTGCCACCTATTGGCGGCTCAGCTCCGGCGCAGCTCACTGGCCCATGTGGGAATTGAACTGGCGACCCTGTTGCTCAGAGATCACACTCTTAACCAACTGTGCCACCCAGCCGGCCCAAGGAAAAAAATTTTAAGTAAGAAACCAAAAATGCCAACCATGAGGGAAAAAAAAAACCTGATGAATTACACTATATTAAAATTTAAAATACTGCTTATCAAAAAAGACACTACAGACAAATTAAAAGGCTACCCACAGAGAGGAGATGACATTTGCAGCACTATAGCCAACAAAGGACAAGTACCCAGAATTTATCAAGAACTTCTACACATCAATAAGCAAAGGACAGGTGGGCCGGCCGAGTGGCGTGTTGGTTAAGAGTTGACTTGGGAGTGCCGGCTCTGAGCAGCAGGGCCCCAGTTAGGATCCCACATTAGGGCCAGTGACACTGCACCTTCTACAGCTAAGATGGTGAACAGCTCGACCTGCAGCTGGGCTGCCATGAGTCAGCGTAGGCTGCAGCCCCTGCTACAGTGGGCTGCCGTAAAGCTACCGTGAGTGGCTGGCAGCCAGCGTGAGTGGCCGGCAGCCGACGTGAACTGCCGTGAGCCACCGTGAGTGGCCAGGACAGCCGGCGAGCAACTGCCTCACCCAGGAAGAGCATAATGATAATACCAACATGGGCCAGTGAAGCGACGTCCTCCACAACTAGACTGAAAAACAAAAGGACAGCAGCTTGTCTGTTCCCCTTCCCCGATTCCCCAGTGCTGTTCCTCTCTCCCAAGTCCCCAATAAAATCTTAAAAAAAAAAAAAAAGGACAGGCAATCCAATGTAAAATGGGTCAAAGACTTCAATAGACATTTTACAAAAGGGGACATCTAAATGGCTTATACACATATAAAAAGTGACTCATCTTCATTAGCCATCAGGGAAATGTAAATTAAATACACAGTGAGAGCCTATACATACTCACCAGAATGACCAAGATGAAACATACCAAAAAAAGCAAATATTAATAAGGCTGTGGAACAACTATTGATAGAACATCATACACAGCTGGTACCAGAGTAAACTGATACAACTACTATGGAAAAAGATTTGGCAGGATCTACTAAAGCTGAATATACACATACCCTAAAACCCAACTGTTCCACTCCTAGACACATTCCTGAGAGGTTTGTTCTTAGGTTCACCAAAAATCATGTAGAAGAATGCTCATCACAGCAGCATTTATAACAGTCTCAACTGGAAAGTATCCAAATCCTATCAACAAAAGAAAGGCTAAATAAATTGTAGTATACTCACAGAGGAACATTATACAGCAATGAAAATGAATGTATGACAACTACAGAGGGTGCCCCTAAAATGTATACACATTTGTAGAAAGGAGAGAACGATTAAAATTGTAATACTCAATATATACCAATAACAAAAGATGAATACAAGTCACATTTGACTTCTGCAATTACAAGAGGTGCTCAAAGTGGTTACCATCAGTGGCCAGACACTTCTGATGATGGTGAACTACTGCTTGAGCAATGTTGACCAAAGTGTCCACTTGTATACATTTTTTTGGCACCCCCAGTATATGTAAAAATATGGGTGAATCTCACAAACATGATGATGAACAGATGAAAGCAGACACAAAAGAGTACATGCTATATAAGATTCTATTTATATAAAGTCCAAGTGCAGGAGAAAGTAATTTACGGTGCTAAAAGTCAGAATAATGATTATCCTTGGGGCAGGGGTAGTATCTGGAAGGGGACACACCAGGGAATGTTCTGGTGTGCTAGTAATGTCCTACTTGTTTGTATGGGTAGTGTTTCCCTTTAGGAAAATTCATCATGCTGGACACTGATAATTTGTGTACTTTCTTATAGAGGTTATTCTTTAATTTTAAAAAAAAATTTTACAGGCTAGTCTCCTGAACAAAATCTGGTCTCACAGAATTATTTTTCATGTAAGAACAAATAATAGATTCAGAAAAATAAGATACTATCAAAGAATATGTACTGTATTATTTCATTTTGCTAAATGTAAATAATGCTTATCTCTGGATTATGGCTGATATTTATTTTCTTTTTACTTTATCCATTTCATTTTTCTACAATGATCACATGTTATTTGTCATCATAAAAACTACAAGTTGTTTTTTAACATAAAATTTGATTATGATAAGTCAGGATAAGATAATGAGTAGAGGGCTGGCACTCCAATGCTTTAGCTCACTATGTGCACAAGACCTGGGTGTGGCTCTGCTACTGCCCTGGTCCCTATCAGACTGCCAGATGTTGAGGATTTGTAAAGAAACAGGAGATGTGGTACAAGCAGGAAGGACTCAAGGTCATTTGTACAGAAGAGAAGTGGGAGCTACAGGGAGAACCAAGGCTTTCCTGATCCTGGCCAGGATACTTAGACCTCTATCTCCCCAAAACCCTCTGTTCTACTCCTAATCATGTGTCAATCTCACCCACCTAGATTGACCTTCCTCTCAAGTTTCCCCTTCCCAGGATCTGCCCTTGCTGAATGTGGTGTTTTAAGGTATCCCAATGCCACATTTCTCCTGCTCTCTTGTCTATGGTGATGCCACTCAAGCTCCCCATGCAGCAGCTGCTCTGCATCCTCCTAGTCACCAGGGTGGCCGACCCCACTGGAAGATGGGCTCCTTCTCTTCCCCCTCATCAGGGAACATGCTGTGCCCTTTAATGAGCCTGATTTTCCCATCTATGAATCAGACAGAGTAGGAGAACTAGAAAATCCCTCTTCGGATTTATTGTGGAGGGTGGAAAAGCATATCCTAACTGCCAAGTGGAGGAATTGAGCTGTGAATGGTTTTCCCTTATTATGTAGCTCCAGGGGACCATCCTATTATGTCCTGCAAATCCCAAAGAGGGGAAATTGAGCAGTTGTGTTTTCCTTTTGGTACTATATGCTTCCTTATTAGGTAAGTACGTCAAACTTGTGAAAAGTACCTAGCACAAGGGCCATCTCAGTAACTGCCCTATTAATTAGCTTGTATTTATTGAGCACTTATGCTTTATCTCATTTAATCTTCACAACAACCCTATAAAATAGGTCTACTCATTCATTTCACAAGTATATATTGCACTCTTATTATGTGTCAGGCACTGTGCTAAGTGTTGGAGATATGAGAGTCAACAAAAAAACAACGTCCTTGCCTTCATGGAACATACAGTCTGGCGGGGAGGCACATATTATACAAACAAATGTAAAACTGCAATTGTGCCAAGTACTAAGATGGAGAGGTATCTGGTGCTGAGAACCACTAACAGGGAGGTTTTTAAGGACTCCACTGTGAAAGTGAAGTTTGAGCTGAGCTCTGAGAAATAAGTAAGACTTACCAGGTAGGCAAAGAGCAGGCAGAAGCAAAGGCTTTGGCCAAAAGGAAGTGCTAAGTATATGAGAATGGAAGGTGAGTGTATGGCGGGAGAGGTGGGTCGTAATTCTATCCTAAGTCGGCCTCATACCTGATGCTCCAGGATCAGAGTTCCTAACCATTTCAACCTCTCCTGTACAGGCCTAGCTCCAGCCCACAAGAAGCTGAAAATCCACATCTGATTTGCAGAGACGAAAAGGCTTTAAAGAAATAGGGGTAATGCATGTGATTTTACCGAGGAAGCCTGCCAGGGAATGAAAGCGACCTTAGAGACTTCAAGGACTGGCATGACAGAACTAGAAGACCTCCCCTAGACTGCTGGAATGCAGTACAGGCTTGACACAGAGGCCTCTCCGCTTAGCCCAAAGCTGGAGAGGTGAGGGAAAAGGAAGCGACAGGAGTAACGGAGCGAGAAGCCTAGGAGCGTCCCAGTCCTTGACCACCACTGCGGCTGCGCGTGCGTCGTTCCGGAAACGGAAGTGCATAAGAGGTCAGCGTTGGTTTTCAAGATGGCGGCCCTCAATGCGCTGGTGTCCGGTTGTGGGCGGCTGTTCCGAGGGCTCCTGACAGGCCCGGCCGCGACCAGTTGCGCTCGGCCTCTAGCTCGCGGGTTCAGGGAAGGTGAGTCCTGGGTCCCGGCGGCCAACCAAAGTTGAGAAGAGCGGCAGAGGTTGCTTCCTCCAGCCCCGGTGTGCCCCTCCTTCCTTTTTCTTCGCTCAGTTATAAAACGTCGGAGATGCTGGCGCTCCCGGGGTGCTGGAAAGCGCCTTCCAGACCCTGATACTGTTATCTTGACTTCCTAGCCCTCGTGAGTGTCGTCATGGGCGGGTGCGGGTGGGGAGGACGGAGAGAAAGGCCTCTTTAGTTAGCAAAGGCAGAAGAGAAACCTGTTGCAGGGTTCAGAAAAGTTTTCCGTAAGGGTCTGCATGTTAATTCTCTTCCATATTTTCCGAACGGCGGCTCCCTTCATTAAAGAATCCCTGGAGGGAAGGACACCTGGCTACCCTCCCCAGAGCCTCCCTTTCCAGTTTCTCATCTGAAAATGCTGTCGTCTGATGGCGGCTTTTTCTCTGCCCGGGCCGCTTCTCTCCCTGAGAGGTGGAAGCTAACTAAGGTGGAAAGGCCATTGAACAGCTGAAAAAGGCAAATGCTGCATGGTAGTTTTGCTTTTCATGAATCTTAACTGTGGAAAGGAAGCCTGCTTCTAGCAGTGAACTGAGAGCTTACTAAAGGCCAAGTGCTGTACTTCAAGCTTTCAAGGCATTCTGGACAAAGAAAATACAGCCCTTTTTCTGAGAAGTTAGGTTTTAGTTAGATGATATGTATACACTCCAGTAAATGCAAGTTAGGTATTTAGGTGACGAAGTAGAAGGGAGATTTGGTTACCGGAAACAGCAAACCCAACTGGAAGATTTCAGTAGGGGGTGTGTGCCTTGAACAGGCTTATGAAAGGATGGAATCTGGCGAAGAGTGAAAAAGTCTTTCAGGACCTAGCCCTCCTTTGTGCACTGCTGGAAGCAGGAAAGGATGAGTGATGTGCAAAAGAAGTGATGTGAGGTTTTTAAGATTCTGGCATGGTATTGACCAGCGTTTCCTTTAACTAAAACTGAGGTGTATCCAGTGGAAAAGAGTGATCATTGTTTTCAGAGGGAGCAGAAAAGTCCAGAAAGAAGAGCCTAATGAAGAGGCGATTGGATTTGTCACAGAAGAGGTCTCTTTTTTTTAGCTTTCAAACAGCAATTTCAATAGGATGGCAGACAAGGAACCCAGTAGGGGGAAATCAAAGAGATATGTGAGAAGAATTTAGCTGTGAAAGGAAGATGGAACACTTGCTATAAAGAACAATAAAATCCAGATACTGCCTGGTTAACATTAGATAAACTAATTTATTAATAAAGACACCAAAGAGATCATGAGGCTAACAGAAAGGACTTGGATAAGGTGTTTCGTCTCTTGCTATGTTGCAAAATAAGCATGGGCCCATAACATTTTTGAGGGTGTCTACCAAGTGTCAAACACTAATAGCTACAATTTACATATCCATTATGAAATTCAAAGTTGGAAATAGTTCTTTGCTGTGTTCCCAGAGAATAGGCAAGAGGAATAGTTTTTTGTGTGTTTTTTTATAAAGGAATATTTGAAATTAGAATTTTTTCATTTGGAGAGTTTGTGAAATGATGAACTGTATAATCAGATGGGTCTTTGAAGTCCTCCTTTCTAAAAATACTTGATTGGTTGGTCTTCTACATTACTCACTGTCAGACCTAAAAGTTAAGTAATTGAACTGATGTAATCTTACATGAAAACACTTATCATATTCTGTATTCTTCTTGAAAACCACCTATCTCCAAAGCCTTTAAATGAAAAAACTCTCTTGATGTTCTACCCTTTATGTGTAAGGCATAAAGTATTACACATATAGCTAATTTGGGGTATATTTGACACCCAAATAATATCATACACATAGAATTTAAACTTGTGGGGAGGAAGCTGGATATCTTGCTGAAATTATTCAAGCATCCTACTTTTCAGGAGATCAGATAGTACAACTTAATTTTAGTCAGAGTTCATGAGACTGAGCACCAGTGTTCCTGTCTGTAAATTCTTAGTCTAAAGCAGCGGTTCTCGTTGGGGGACAGTTTTGTCCCCCAGGGAATATTTGACAATGTCTGGAGACATTTTGGTTGTCACAGCTGGTGTTTCTGTCATTTGGTGGGTGGAGTCCAATGATGCTGCTAAACATACTACACTGCACAAGACAGCCCCCACAACAAAGAACCACCTGGCACAAAATGTCAGTATACTGCTGTTGACAAAGCCTGGTCTAAAGCTTGACAAGAGGGACACGCAAAGCCAAAACATATTATGGAAGAAGCAAGACTGAAGGAAGACAAAAATGGAAATTGTGGTTTATTAAGTGCCTGCTGCAAGCACTGCTAGGTTTTCCACATACATTTATTCAGTCTCAACTATTCTTAAAGGTGGTTATTAACTGACATTTTTACAAATGAGGAAATCTGGTTCAGGGGGGTTCAGTAGCTGCCCAACATCACACAGCTAGTAAGTGATGGAGGTGAAGGTAGAGCCAGCGCTCTTCCCGCTCCACCTGTAACATACCTTGGCACTCCATGGCAGGGCTTCCCTGAGGTTCCCTCCCTTTCCTGAAAGCCCTTGTCAGTTAACTTGCTGAAGACCATTTAGTGCTTTTACGGTTGACACTGCCACACTTAGCAAAGATTGTGTTAGATCTCATTCCTGCCTTATCACCCTTAAAGCTCTTACGAAGGAAACGTGTCTAAAACAAGAAAAATAAACATGTGAATATCTGATTTTACAGTAATGATCTGTCAGTGTGTTGAAATGAGTAAAGGCTGAAGGGAATTTTCTTCATCTTTGCCAGTTAGCTAAGGGGGCTTTCTGGAGGACCTAGCATTTTAGGATGTGCTGGCAGGACGGGCAGCCCTATAGCTAAAAGCTTTGAGAGAGGAGGGAGGGAGTTGGGGGCTTTGAGGAACTGAGAGTAACCTGCTAGTGGAAAGAGATTTTTGTGCAGCAGTAGAGACTCCTCATTCTGAAGCATGGTGCAGAGGGACATTCCTTTGGGCCCAAGGGAAAAGAAATGGGGAGGTGATGAGAGAATCAGGAAACTCTAATGGTAGAATTAAAGATGAACAGAAAGGAGTGGTGCTTGAGCGAGGAAGGAGTTTGAGAAAAGTAAAGGGCCAGAAGTGCCATTTCTTCGGCACACGTCCCAAACAGCACTCCGCTCCCTGGCCCTACATAAGACTGTTCATGCCGCCTCTAAGCCGTCCTGCCATTCAGTTACTCCATTCCTTCATAGTGTACTTGGGACCTGGTTTCCATGGCTCCTTTCCAAAAGGACCTTGGTCTCTGGGCACTTTCTGCAGCAGTGCCCTCCACTCCTCATCATTCATCTTTCCACACTTCCTCCTTTACTAAACAGTTGAGTCTTTATACTGCTGCAGTTCACTATGTCTGTGTTTATGTGGCCATCAAGGTCTTTCTGCGTTCACTGCGATCTCACCGCAAATGCTGTTTGCTCTAGACTGTTATAATTCAGTTATCTTGGACTCCATCCTAGGCGAGTATTTACTGAAGCACTCAAAGGACCTCTTTACGAGGCATGGACTTTATTATAGTGAAGTTCCCATACTTGTTTTAGTCCCCTTTTCTCCCCTAGGCCAAAGACTCTGTCTTCCTATTCTGTTGTAACTCTCCACCATAGGTGGAGCCGGACTGTACAGCCCACGGGTGTGCAGCAAATGTGTTGCCTCCTGTGGAACAGATTATTTGATCTGTATGAGAAGTGTCTGTCTTCGAAGATTATGTATGGCCCTTAATTCTTGTTGAGAAAATGGCTTCATTTCTTTCCTGAGTTTACTTGATATAGCCATGTCTCGGAACACAAGGGTGATTCCATCTTTTTCTAAACAAGCTTTCTGTTAGTGCCTTAAATCTCTTAGTCCAGCTTTTCTTAGCCACCCCCACTTCCCTTGAATGGACAAGAGGCCAGGGACAAAATGGATCTCAGGTTTTGTTTGGTTTTGACATGTTTTTGTATGCACACTGAAAATCAATACTATTTTGATTCCTATCTCCGTTTTCAGAGGCTTAAAAACTAGCGGGCCTCTTCAGGCTCCAGCCGGGCCTTCTGCCCCAGCACTGACACACCACCCTGATCAGTCTGAATCTCAAGTGAATGCTCAGGTCATTACTTCTGATTTGACAAATTGTCTCTATTAGATAAGCATCTGCTTAATGTTTTACTCACTGGCTTATAGTAAGATAATTCACTGGCTCAGAGTTGCTGTGTGGGGAGCTTGTGAACAGTGGAGCTTGCCACAGGCTTTGATCTCTTTTCCAGGGGCCAGTGGGATGACTTCAGGGTTTGGTTCTTTGCCGGGAGTGATGTGTGTTTTGTTAGACTTGTTTACCTCATGGTTAGGACCCAAGTGCCTCCACCGAGAAGGGAGCCACATGTTTATCCGCTTTGTTTTTCAGGGCATTGTTCTCCGTGCTTTTCCCCCCCACCTGTTGTTGCTCAGATTTGATCGTCCAACTTGGTTTTTGCAGATTTGTAAAGTTTCGGGGGTACGTGGAAGCCCTACTGGGCTGGGGCCATGCCCTTCTGCATCCCCACATTTGTAGCTTGACACATTGCAGCGACAGTCCCCCTGCAGCTGTGCTGGCCTCCAGACCGAGCTCCAGGTTGAGTCTCTCCCACATCCCGTTTAGGCTGGTCTCTGAACAAGTAGGTCTGTGTGTGGGGTGACGCATTTTCCTTTACAGGGAGAAACCTAGTTTGTCTTTGAATTGATTAGTAACTACAGTGTTCTGGAGCAAGCCTCAGGGCCTTTCTGGCCATTGTTACTCCTTTGTGTGTCTGAAATTGGACATGGAAGGGCTCTCAGGTTGGTTGTTTAGAGGTAATGAGTCTTTCTGAATGGCCTCGCCCAGAAAACCAATGGGGAACCATTCCAGGCAGTCTGCGTCTAATTAGGTGCTGGTCACAGAGCTCAGTGATCACAGATGCTGCTGTGGGACCCCGGGTGGATTAGAAGTGCCTCACTTTTTTTCCTTAGACATTCTCTTTTCACTCTTTTTATTGTTTTATTTTTCATATTGCAAAAGCAGTACATAGTTTATTTTAGAAAATACAGATAGGTATAAAAAAGAAACTAAAATTACCTACTGCCACCACTGAGAGAAAACCAGTATTACCATTTGGGCACATAGCTTCAGGGGTCTGTGAGCCTCCTAAAATCCGTGTCTAATTATATGTATACTTAGGGACATGTTTCTAGGGAGAGGTCCATAACTTGCACTGGATTCGCAAAATTAAGAACCTTAGGCTCTTTCTAATCTGCATTACTTCTTGCCTTAGCTAGAGCAGAGTAAAACTAATTGTGGTAGCCAAGCTGCTGTTAAAATATGATTGTAGTATGTGGGGAGACAGTTAGCAGCCAAGCTACGTGGACCCAGGTTTTCTATTACAGTAATTAGCAGTCAGAAGGGGACCACGGCAAGCATTTTGCTCCCTAAATGCTAGCTAGCATTCATTGAGGATCTGCTGTGTGCCAGTTCCTATGCTAACAGTAATGGCTTCTCTCTTTTTTAAGACACTGGGAGACCAAGGAAGGATCTCCGGGAACTTTCTGTTTGATTTTATTTGTCGAATGTGAGCTTTTAGCTTGATTTTTCCTTTGAATATTGTTGAAGTTGTCATTCTGCATGCTAGTCGAGTAAGATAGAAAATATGTATATTTTCAGACACACAAAGGAGCCCCAGCCTGAGGGGAGAAGACATAGTCCAGAGACAGAGCCACCAAACAGCCTGGGTCTGTGAGAAGCAGGGTTCAATCTTCCCCTTTCACCTCATTACTTACCCAGAAAAGACCAAGGCTTCTGAAATAGGCATCTAGAGAGAGCCATTCTGGGCCTGGACAGAGACCAGAATGGGGTGGGTGCTCTGCCATTACCTGACAGATGTGTGCGAGTTACTGTCTTGCCCTTGGGTTCTCTTTTGACTGCCAGACCTAAATAGGCAAAGAGCTGACGGAGTCCCTCTCAGTTTAGAATTGCAGTCCTCTCCTTGAAATTCTGCCCGGACCCAATACCTACAGGCCCCCTTACTCCCCCTTCTTTTATCACCCCTCTCCAGTATAGATAACAGAATGCAACCCTGCAGGGAGAGGACTGGAGAAGAGGAGGGGATTTAACTCATGCAGTTGTTCTTACACAGCTTTAAAACAAGGCTCTCAGGATGAATTCTAGGAGTGAATTTGTCTCATTGCTTATCCACCGTGGGGCCACTGGAGCAGTGTTAGTGCAGTGCTGTATCTTTGATTGCAAACTCTTCAAGGTCAAAAACTATGTCTGATTCTTTTCAGGAAAGGATGCATGCAGAGGGTACTTTTGAAGGTCTTTTAGATGCCTCCCCACCCCTCCATTCTTAGGTCATTATTGCTAGCCATGATAGGGCAGGGTCTTGCTAATTTCCTTGGATAGAATCAAGATGAATCTTGGCTTCAAAAGGCAAAACCAGCGTGGAGATCCTTGACTCCAGAGAGATGATATTACTTGGGCATCTGGGCTTGCCCCCACCCAACCTCAAGGGCATAGAGCCTTGGCACTTGGAGGTGAACCCTGCATGCTTTCTCTTCCACATGGGGACCGTGGGAGAGTGCAGACTGAAGGCTCCGTTTTTCTGCATGTGTAGAATTTGAGCTGTTATTTGAAACTCCCTGTTCCTTATTAAATGGCTGACCTAATTTTTCCCCTTTATCTCGTAGTGGTGGAGATCCAAGAAGGGAAGACGACTATAGTAAGTATCATCGAGTTGGCCACTTAAAACCTCTTTAACACTTGGAGCTGCCTGGCTGCTCCTCTTAGGGAAGGAGGGAGACCCATGCTGGACTCCTGGCCCCAGAATCCGCTCCCTCCGTGACCATAAATCTCACAATCTTCTATTTTTCAAGCCGTGTGCTATAGTGAGGTTCATCAGGAACAGTGACTTGTACCTGGATCGAGGTGTCTGTTATAGGATGAAAGTGGCTTTTTGTATGACAGTCTCAACAGGTCTTCGCTGATATGTTCTTTGGAGGGTGATAAATTAGTTTCCCAGAGGGGAAACTAAGGCAACGGCAGGACTAGAGAGCCAGAGTAGGTTGACCCAGGGCCAGGAGCCTACATCTCAGCTCCTCTCTTTTCTGCCCAGAGTGACTAAGCTACTCCTTAAGTGATACAGTTAAAAGGTGACACTCTGTGGGCCCTGGGCTCACTAGCTAGCTTGTATGCTGGTGAGAAAGCTAGAACAATTCTTCACCCACCCACTGCCCCCTTTCCCTCATTGGACCCATCTCGCCTCCCTTCCTCCAGAGTCATGGGGCCAAGATTATCCTATAATCCCTAAAAGACAGCATTGTTTTCACACAGCCTTCCATGCCGCCAATAAATCCACAGCCACTCCACAGAGCTCCCACAAGCCTCTATAACTTCCATGTCAACCAGGGATTAAACCCTTCTGACAGCCAGCCAAGCTCTGTCCTCCGCATGCAGTCTTATCCCTAGGACAAGCCCTTCGGGTTCCCTCTTTGGGTCTCCCCAGAATACTCCCTCAGCTTTTTTTACTGCTTAGCCCCAAAACAGTTCTTTTGAGGGGGGGCCCCACCCCCTTTGCACACCTTGTTTGTTTCCTTATTCAAAGCTGAAACAAGCATTTACCCCGTGAACGCTGTGCTGGTAGAGAGAAAACACATCTGGCTTTTGAGTGTGAAGACTGTTTGTCATGTGGGGCATGAAATTGCTATTTGTAGAATGAGCAGGGCGACATTGTGGCCCCGGGAGAGCCTGCGGGGAGGGAGCCCGTCCATGCCTGGGGAGGTGCTGCCGTGGCTGACGGTCTTGTTCCCTCGCTAGGGCCTCACTTCATCTAGAAAGATCGTGATACTCCCTCACTAGGTTATGGGGGTTAAATGAAATGATACATGTGACCCATGACTGGCACAGAGCCAGGCATGTCATGAGGCGTCAGTAAGTGTTAGCTCTCCCCACAACAGAACCACCTTAACCCCCTCCCAAGGCCTACCATCCACTTACACATTTTCCCTAGCACACCTCTCCACTTCTGGAGTGGTTGTGGTGGCCTTGGCAGAAAGGTCGGGAGCTTTGCCCTGCACAGCCAACATTGCTTCAAGCCCTCTTCCCCTTTTGCCAGTTCTCCCCCAGGAGACAGTGTTGTTTCCCTCATAAAGCCTCTCAGACCTGCCCCAGGCTCACGCTCATAATCCATGGCCTCAGTCAGTGCGGCTTTCTAAACTCCCCCTCTTGCAATTGGAGCTGATGCCCAGGTCACTGGTCTGTTAAACTTAGTAATTCCAAGGCTGTGTCACAGGATACAGCCGCTACAGCGAAGGTCATTTCACACGAGGCCTCAGCACAATTGGAAAGGTGGCAATCCAAAATAATAAAAGCAAGGAAGAGAATAGGAGAATGTACCCTCCCATCTACTTTTTTTTTTTTTTTAAAGAAGAAGCGGAAGTGCACGGATATCTGCTCATCTAGGCAGACACCGGGCTTCTCACCTCGGCATTGTTGGCATCCTGGGCTCTCTGTCCTGGGGACTGTCCTGTGCTTTGTAGGATCGTTAGCACTTCCCTGCTAGGTGCCAGTAGCACCCCACCCCCGAATCATGACAATCAAAAATGTCTTAGACATTGTCCAGTGTCCCCTGGGGAGCAAAATCATGGCAGGCTAAGAACCACTGGCATAGACCTAGCTCTGTAAGATAAAGTTGGAAACTGCAGTTTCCTCTGAGAAGGATATGTGGGATGGGAGGGAGACTTCCTTTGGACTCTACAACCCTGCGGAGTTTGAAACTTTTTGCCATGTGCATGTATTACTTTTTCCCAAAGGTTTTGTTTGAGGAAGGAAAGGTAGCTTTCAGCTGATACAGCAAAACCCTACCTCTTGCCACCAGCATTAAGTTCAGTTTCCACTACGCTTAAAGGTCACCAAATCATTTCTTTGTAGCCACCCCAAAACCCAGTGTGCAGTAGTAGTTCCAGCGGAGAAACTTATTTATTAGCTGTTCCCGCAAGACCCCCAGAGATAAACTTACACCAGCATTCCCACCATTTGGGGGGTTGCTCAAGGATCAGAGGCTCCACACAGCCCTCCCCCTCACTGGCTCTTTCTCTGCTTCCTAGATCGAAGGCCGTATCACAGGGACTCCCCAGGAAAGTCCAAATCCCCCTAACCCTTCTGGCCAGTGCCCCATCTGCCGGTGGAACCTGAAGCACAAATATGGCTACGAGGTGAGTCTATGTACAGACACTGGGCTCTGCGTGTCGTGGAGGTCATAGTGGCTGGTTAACTTAAGCAGTGTCTGTCCCCCCACCCCCACCCCCGTAACCACTGCTGCATCTCATGGAGACACCAAAGACAAGCATTTTATCCAGTGGCTCTTAACCCTGGCTGCACATTAGAATCACAGGGGAGCTTTTAAAAAACTGCTCAGACCCCACCCTCAGACATTGAGAGTCAGTGGGTCTGGGGTAAAGCCTGGCCATCGTTATTTTTTTAAAGCTCCCCAGGTGATTCTCATGTGCAGCCAGGGTTGAGAGTCATGTAGTCCGTGGTCTGGTTGCGTGCAATTCAGACCACCAGGGCCCGGTACCCCCATCTTGCAGGGTTGTGTTCCCAAGCAGGATGGAATCAGAGTTTGAATTTGGCTTTCCTTCTTTTATAATGAGAGTCTATTTGGAGAGTCCTCACTGTGACCTGGGGACACATTACTGTCTCTTTCCATAATGGGGCTACAGAGGCTCCTGTTTGCTCCATGCCTTCTAGCTCTTCATCTGTTTCCACGGAAGGATGACGACGGTGAATAATAACAATAGATAGCCTGCGTTGAGTGCATGCCCTGTCAGGCACTGTTGTAAGCACTTACATGTCTTCATTCACTTCGTCTTCACAGCCCTGGAGCATTCCATACTTGTCCTTCAGAGCTCTGCTAGTGACATTAAGCACCCTATTTTTAGGTTTCAGGTGATTCAGGCTCTGGGCCAGTTTGACCTGCAGGTTGTCCCTGTGCCCCTCTGAGGAATGGGATGACTAAGAGCAGAGATCCCGGTCAGGTGGTAAGAGGAGGCAAGGCCACATGCCCATGGGATCTGAACAGAATGACCCAACTAATCTCCCAGGCTGGGAGCCTTGGCTCCAGGCCATCCTGGGGTGGGGAGAGGGGGTGTTCTTTCACTCTGCCCCAGGCCCTCCTGCTGCTGGCCGCCTGGAGTCAGAGGAAGCTTGCAGGCCATGGGCAGCATTCACAGCTTCTTGTTACATGAGAGCTAGTGGGGTTGTGGCCGTACTTGAAATTCCAGCTGAAAACGGGAAGGTGAACCCCACACCTGCCTGACCACCATGGGGCACTCTTCCTATCAGCCATTTCCAGGCAATAGACTTGGCTCTGTTTATCCAGCAGAAGAAATCCAATCCCCTCCGAGGTAAAGGCTAAAGTTGTTTTCCTTTTACCCCTTTCCATTGAGGACACCCTTTGCCTGAGCTGCACAAAGCTGTCAGCTTGCTTGGCAGCCTACAGTGGGGGAGGCTGGGGCTGTGAGCCCAGTTGATTAGCCCTAGATAATCCAGTCCAAGTTCTTTTCATCAGATTCGGAAGATTTGGGGTCTGGGTCCCCCGGGAGCTGTCCAGTGATTACAACAAATCTGCGGTTATACAGCAAGGCGCCTGCCAGGACAGCAAGTTAGTTTGTGGACATGACTGCTAAGACTGGCATGCCAGGCCCCTCACGGCGGTGGGGGGTGGGAGATGGGGGCTTTTATTTAACCCTTTAGCCATCCGGTGAGAGTTGGGAGGGCAAATGGTCTCATCTTTTTTTTTTTTTAAGGTTTTATTGGGGAAGGGAACAGTGTGTTGGGGAACTGGGGAACTTTGTGTTTTTCAAGGACCCATCAGCTCCAAGTCAAATTGTTGTCCTTCAATCTTAGTTGTGGAGGGTGCAAGCTCAGCTCCAAGTCCAGTCACCGTTTTCAATTTAGTTGCAGGGGGCGCAGCCCACCATCCCATGTGGGAGTCAAACCGGCAACTTTGTTGTTCGGAGCACATGCTCTCACCAGCTGAGCCATCCTGCCATCTATTGGCAGCTCAGCGGCAGCTCAGCTCGGGCGCGGCTCACTGGCCCATGTGGGAATCAAACCGGCGACCCTGTTGCTCAGAGCTCACACGCTAACCAACTGCGCCACCCAGCCGTCCCAAATGGTCTCTTATCTTGATTCTGGCTTTGTTGACCCTCGTTTCCTTGATTCGTCCAAAGCAGTCTGAATGGTCCAAAAGAAGCCTGAGCATCCATTCACTTCTGGTCACAGGGGGATTTAGAAGATGTGGGATTTAACTTCACAGCCCTGGTACCTTCCTCAGTTTGTATCCTGCCCAGCACTTCAGAGGGAGAAGGAGAGGCTGTCTGCATGTGTTCTGGCCTGTGGCGCATAGGCTTTGCGGGCAGAAATGGCACAGATTTTCCCTCTTCGGTGGAAATATGTGACATACCCCTTACCTCATCCTAGGAGAATAACAGACCTTTCGTTATCAGGAAAGATATTGCAGGTGCATGAAAGATTGTTAACATGTCTTGAAGAGTTTCTGTTCTCTAACCTAGTCTATGAAAAGGTTATCTCATGGAGGAGCTAGAAGCTCCTGGGGTTGGTAATAGGGTCAGAAGATCTTTAAGTTGGGGTTTAACTTTTGGTAGGGTGAGGGTAGGAGACCAGTGTGCAAAGCTCTTTGTGGAGGGAATAGCCTCAGGTCAGTTCCCAAGGGAGACATCGGCCTCCTGGAGTGCCAGAGTATGACGGCCTCCCCTACAGGTCGCGTGGCCTGGCTCCCCAGCATCGAACGCCCACCCGGCTGACCCTCATCTCCTGTTTTCTGTTTCCACTAGGATGTGCTCCTGCTCAGTCAGTTCATCCGGCCTCATGGAGGCATGCTGCCCCGAAGGGTCACAGGCCTGTGCCAGGAAGAGCACCTCAAGATTGAGGAGTGTGTGAAGATGGCCCACCGGGCAGGTAGAAGTTCCTTTTGAGGCCAAGAGGGGCCAGAGGGCAGTAGGCGCCATTCCCCACCCCCACCCACTTCCCTGCCAGCTACCCCATGTTGTAGCCCCTCCTGGCAGAGAAATGGTCATCCAGAGTCTTCATTATACTCCCCCTAATGCCAGCCTTCCACCCCCTTGGGCTTTCTGTATGGCCCCCAAGGACTGCGGAGACCATCCCCTTATATATTCTTCCCTCCCCTCAGGTCTGTTGCCAAATCACAGGCCTCAGCTTCCCGAAGGATTTGTTCCAAAGAGCAAACCCCAACTCAACCGGTAAGCACACCTGGGTGTCAACACCCTGAGCATTCTGCGTGCCCTCAGTTCCCACTGCATTCTGCTGGGGGAGCCATTTACCGAAGCTCGTGCCACACCCAGGGAAGCCAGAGTTCTCCTCGGCTGTTCCATCCCATCCAGCGTGAGCGCGCACCCACCGCAGCCCGCCTCCCCTGCTGGCCTCAGCCTCTTTCTTCCCTCCCCAGTAGGGCACTCAGCACAGGGGCAAGGAGAGTGAGGAAGTCTGCTGGCTGGGCATTAGAATGTGCTGATCCCCTGTTTATGACATCATACTGGGTTGCTATGGGAATGTCAGAGCATTTCCACAAACTTTTAGTATCCCAGCACTGGGGTTACTAAAGGGCAAAATGAGGCCTTAAAAATGGGAGGGTTCTCGGGGGCAGGGCCACATGTATAGCTGTGCAAGCCGTACACTGCAAAACGTCAAGGCACCATCCATGTAGACTAGATTGTAAATGGTGCCTTCTAGAGTTACTCAGTTAACAACCTGCACAGCTGCACATGGTGACCCAGGAGGTCCTGAAGAAGAGGAGAGGAAAGTCCCTAGATCCTGGAATCAATCAGTCAATCTGCCTTTCAGCCTAAGCAGGGTGGCCCCCTCTGGTATAGAAACAGATTCCTGTCTAATACGCAAACAGCCATCCTATTGTACGTTCCTTTCTCTCCCCTATCTCTGACATTATCAGACTCACATACTCCAAATGAGTAATCCCCCCTTGTTGTGAGTAGAGCCAGACCTGTAAAATTGATTTTGGTTTTTTTTTCTTGTTCTCCCCATCAACGGCCTCTCCTCTCTTTCGGCCTATCCTGCTGCCACTGAAACTGCTCTCTATACGGGACCAAAAATGACTGAAGTGAAGCAAGACTTTCTCCACCCCACTCCCAGCAAACCTCCTAGTCTGATCCCCAGCAGAACCCAGGCATGGGGGTGAGAGGCCAGGCAGATACCAGCCATGGACTGCTGGGCTGGGGGTGCAGGGCCACAGCTGGGTCTTCATTGACGCCTCGCCAGCACCCTGGCCCCATGCCCATCTCCACCTGCACTTCCTACATTGCTAGCTGGGCCATCTGCCAGCAGCCCTGGGGGAGCAGGACCTATTAACCTCTTCCTGTCTTTCCCAAATGTGCTATGGACCATTTGGGGTTTGAGCCTACCCCCACCCCCTGACTTGTTAAGAGACAGCAGCAGGCCTAAGGACACAATCCATCCTGCCCTCAGGCCTTTGAAGTGAGGCCAGGCTCCCTCCCATATATCCGGCATCCTTTAACGTGACACAGGATTGATGATGTGTGGGGGCTCTTGGGTTGCAAAAGGCCACCCTGAGGGGAGGGGGAGTCCTGGCTATGAGGGAGGTTGAGTCCCTTGCAAGGGACTTGATGATTCTATCCAGAGGTCCTTGAGCTGCCATGCACTGGCCCGGGTTCTGCTGGGGCACCGTAGGAGCCATGCTTCTTCCTTCCCCTGCCCCTTCAGGAGAGGTGGGAAGGAGCCTTGGTTCTTCTTGAGCTGGAGTCTTCCCAAAGAGCTGGCTGCAGGCCACCCAGGCCCACCCTCCCCCACCAGCTGGCTGCTCCGTGTGGCACAGGCATCAGGCCCAGGGCTAGCTGAAGCCCGGCTTCCTCGGGTCCCTCCAAGGCAGGGGGGAGGAACAGCTTTAGGGCAGCAGTTCTGGAGGATCTCGAGATCTTCTGGGGTCCTGGAATCCCAGTGAGCACTCCTTTTGGGGAGCGTGCTTCCATACCCCATCTCTTCACCTACCCCCTGTAGAAACTCCTGCTGTCCCAGTACCACCAACCACAGAAAAAGCAAGTCCCTGGGGCCAGCCCACTCCTCAGAGGTCTCCCTGCTAGGGGCATGGACATTGACAGTAGATGTATAGAGACCCTCTGCTGTCTGCCCATGCCACACTTGGAGTGCAGGCCAGCACCTCCCATAGCTTTTTACTCCTTTCAGAGCAGTTCCCTTTGCGTAGGACTGAGAGCAAAAGACTTAAGGTCTAGGGGAGCTTAGTTGAGATGCATAAATCAGCCATTATTTTTTCACTTTCACCTAAAAATCTTCATCCACGGGCATTAATTTTTTTCATTAAAAGTCTCTCCTTTGGGGTTTTCCAGAGGTGACTGGGTTGAGTCTCAACCTAGAGTGGGGGCAGGAGAGGATCCTGGCCTTTGCTACGGCTGAGCTTTCAGACAAAGGGTGGGCCTCTCTGGACAGAACCCAGATTTCACTCTGAATAGAGTAAACCCCAATCCCAGCCGGCATGAGCCACTTTTCCAGGAACTGTCAGCGCCCTGGCCATCCCCAAAGGAGGCCAAAGGACTGTGGGTGGCAGCCATCTTTCCCTACCCCTCCTACTTACAGGAAGGAACCTTCCTGGACTAGGTCTGCTCCCACAGGCCCTCACCCTTGGCTCCCGTCATAGGTTGGGTGAGGAGCAGGGTCCTACATCAGTTACAACTGCCCAGGGGAGCTCCCTGAAGGCTGGGGGACAGAACCAGCCAAGTGGGGAAGAGGGAAGGATCCCTCCAGGCCCTTACATCAGCCTCTCCTCTCCCCATGGCTGAGGCCAGCGAAGAATGATCTGTTCTCCGGGCAGCCTCTTCCTCCACCTCCTCCCCCACCAAATACACACAAACATTGACAACTCATAAAGATCAAGGGAGCGCGTGGCCCTGGGCCGCCTGACCCTGGCCACACACACTTGCAGCAAGAGCCCAGCCCATCTGTTTACAGCACACTCAGCAGTTGCTCCCAGGAAAAGCGCTTGCTCCTCAAGGAAGGCAAACTACTGAAAGGATTTGGTTGGACAACCACAGCTTTGGCCCGAGGAGGCAGCGCCCACTCTCCCAGCTCCAGCATGGAACCCGGTCCTCACAGCCACCTCTTGGCCCTCCCTCCACAGGTACCTGACCCGCTGGTCCCGCCGCTCGGTCAAGCCCATCTACAATAAAGGCCACCGCTGGAACAAAGTGCGCATGGCTGTGGGGTCACCCCTCCTGAAAGACAACATCTGCTACTCAAGAAGGCCGTTGGTGCTATATCATTGACTGAGAGCATGACCTCCTGAGCACCTGGCCAGAGCTGCTCCTGTGCTCCCGCCCCACCCTACCAGGGTGGCCCGGATTCTCCAACATGAACTGCACGAGGGTCAGTGGGACCAGCAGCAGTGCTGGGAGCTGGGGGCAGGCAGGGCAGTTGGGTCCCATGGCAGCTGCTGGGGTCTCATGACTGGCTGGGGCTGTGTTCAGAGCTGGGGGACAGGAGCTTTGCCCAAAGTAATGTCATAAACCAGGCTCATGTCTCACTCACTGGGTGTGTGCCCACTGTTTGGGAAGTATGGGGGGGCGTGGCCCATTTCCAGCCAGTTACTGGGCATTGAGTCCCTGATTACTTGTGATGAGCCACCATGTGAATGCAACCTGAAGGGCTTCATGGGCCGAACAGGTTCCCATCCTCTTTTATTGACAGCTGTTAGTCTTGGGCCTGAGGGGCTGCAAGGAGGAGGGGATTTGGGCTGCCTGGTGGTGTGCAGCTCTCATCTGAGTCCAGGAGCTGCCTTCCTCAGATCTCACCTCGCTGTCACCTGCTCCGACCCTCCGCCACTTGCTTTAGAGCTGGGTCCCCCAGCTCCTCCGTAGACCTCTCCTCAGAGCCTGGACACCAGATGGAGGCGGAGATAAAGGAAAGCAGCAGTACAAAACAAACAGACCAAGTTCACTGAAATGTATGAAAATGATGTTTACATTCTACAACAGAAGTCCCCGGGCTGGCCCTTCCTACAGCATGAAGGGCAAGTCTATGTTCTTCTCACCGGTGCCCACGTAGATGTAGCCACAGTTCTTGGTGCGGGGAGCATGGTAGAAGGTGAGGCCTGGCCAGAGCAGGCTGCGCAGCACCACCAGGGCACGGCCTCGCTCCATCTGGACGCTCCAGGACCCTGGGGAGGAGGCAAGGCCTGGGGCTGTGGAGCCAGCGCCTTGGGCAGCCAGGCCCTGGGGCAAGGTTCCACTGGGGAAAGGGAAGACAATTTCATTATCCCGGCACTTCACTCCTCCTGATTGCCTTTTAGCCATTTCACTGTTCATTAAAACCGCTTCCAGAGGGAGGGCAAAGGAAATGAAAAGAGGTGAAACTCAAACCAGTGCGTTTTGTTCCTGTCAGCAAGTCTAGTTAAAGGTTGAGTGGGGGAGGAAGCTGAATCCACAGGCAGAGGGGAGTTGGGGCCAGGCTTGGGGAGACTCTCTCTAGCTCCCTCTCACCCTCTCCGAGGGGTAATCACCGGTGACCTTCAGTCCTAGTACGGTTTCCCCCTACTTGCCATTTTGCTCTCTTGCCCAGTCCCAGAAGCCTCTGCTCTGAAGACAGATTAGACCCGACCAGGGGCTCCCATAGAAGTTTGGCAGGAGGGGACTTGGGCTGCAGCTAATGAGCCTTTGTCTATCCTGGGTCCTGTCCTGGTTTTTGCTCCCCAGACAGGAGCAGCCCAGCTCCGGGCTGAGCCGTGCAACCATGAGGACTTGGCGAGAAGCGCCTGATCCATCTCCAGAACTGAGGGAGGGAGCCTCTGTGTGGGAGGAAGGAGCCTGGGAAAATCGCCTCTGGATGCAGATCTGGAGCTCCTATTCCCCTGCGCACCGAGGCCCCTCCCGAGCCCCGCCGCAGCTCTGCTCCAGGGCCTGCCAGAAAGGCAAATGCTTTGAAGGTTTTGGTGTTGGACCAGCCAGTGATGTGCTGAGAGCTGCGCTGAGGCCTTCATCGGCTGCCAGCTCAGCCCGGCTGCTTGGCCCCTGCCACTCCAACTTCCCACAGGCCTCCTCCAACCATGGCCCACCCTGGTCACTCCACACCCAACAGCCTCACAGCCCAGTCCCCACCCACTGCATCCAAGAGACCTGACCACCAGGAACCCCAGGCCCCGATAGCAACTCAGTCATGCTCAGGGTGCCATCACCTGCCCAGATCAAAGCCAGAGCTTCCCGGGTGCATGTAGGTCAGCTGGCCCTGGCTTGCATAGGGAGAGGCTGGCTCAGAGCACTGTGCAGTGAGTGGCCTGCACCAAGTGCCACCAGCCATGCATGAGATGATGAAGTGAAAGCCACAGTGTGGGCTTGATTCTGCTCCCATGGTCCCACATAGTGCTGGCCAGACAGCATCAGGAATAAGAGTGGCCCTGGGTTATCAGCTCTGGCTGGGGTACTGCCTAGGAAGGGGGTGAGGGCTTTCTTGGTCAGAGAAGGGGAGTATTTCCCCTGGCTCCTACAATTTTTCTCCCTGGACACCTGAAGTCCTCCACCTCCCAGACCTGCTCTCAGAGTCCTAAGGCCCTACCTGTTGCTTTCCTAGTCACCCATCCCAAAAAGCCGATTGCCTTGGGGTAACGAGAGAGTGGGTGTGACAGAACAAAGTGTTCCCAGTGCACTGCATCCAGCCTTGGGCCAGCACAGACGCCAGGAAGGTACATGCTCGAGCCCCCCTTAGTCCGCCCCCACCCCATTGCTCAGAACATCATCTGTGGACAGCTCCTCCCTGCCCTTGGAGCCCACAGTCACTCAGCCCCTTAAACTGAGAAAGGTCAGGCTCTACCTCACTCTGCTCCCCAGGGAGGGCCGCTTACAGCCTGCCTGGCCAAATGCTGCTGTGGAGAAATGGAATCCTGGAGTCCCCCAACCTGTACCACTTGTCAGCTCACTGTCACCAGCACCTTGGCACACCCTGGGCAAGGGCTGGGTCCCAACCTTCCCTCACACCAGCCTGCCCACCTAGGGTTTGGCCCCCTTTCCTCCAGTAGATGAGGGGACCTAGACTTATCAGCAGGGGCTCACCCTCAGAGAGCAAGGAGAAACTGGCAGGGATGCTAGGGAAATACAGTGCCCCCACTGGGGCAGGGGGCAGCGCCAATCAGGCAGAAGGGTGCTGGCAGAGTGCGGAAGTGGCATGTGAGGGGCCCGCCAGCCAACACTACCGCCCTCCCTCCCTCCCTTGCATTCCTGTCACACTCCTGTCCTCCTCTGCTTGTTCCTGGCTCAGCTGGTTGCCCAGGAAACACACAGTCTCTCAACGTGCCAGGAGTCACGTAGTGTCTACCTGGGAAGCCAGGCACTTGCTGTCACCTTCACCCACTTTTTTTACTGCAGCTGCTGGAAAGGCTGGGCCTAGCCAGCTGCCACCGCCTCTGCCTCCTCTAGGATTCCAGGAGACGCAGCCTTCTGCGGCCTTCGTGTTTCAGTTCAGAGCCCCAGTCTCTCCCAGGCCTCCCCAAACCTCCCCTTCTGCCCTCTGGCAGTCACCCTTTTCTATAAGCTCTGTTTTTTGAGGCCATGGTGAGAGGACAAGCAGGTAATTAGGAACTCTTGCAATCAGCAGGAAGTTCTGGGTGTCCTGGGCCCCAGGGTCTCTCACCCACTTTATTAGTGTGGAAACCTCAGGCTAGGGTATGCTTCTCGTAACTACATTCTCCTGCCCTCCAGGAAGAAAGGCAACAAAGCTCTGAGTAAGTTTGAGGAGGGGAGTGGGCTGCGCTGGGGACCAGAGCTGCCTAGGAGCAGCCGATGGCTTAAACCCCCTCAGACCAGCACTACACAACTTGTCACACACACACACACAGAAATGGCCACAGGTCCCTTCTCAGAGCGGCCACTCCCACAACACCAGGGCCACAAACTAGAGTCAACCCCCCTAGGGGAGGGAGGGGAATGTGGGGCAGTACAGGGGTGGAAGAGGGCCCTGTGTAATTGATGGGCAAGGTCAGGCCCCCTGGTCCAGAAGGCCAAGCACCTGTCAGCCAGGCCTCCAAGGGCCTGGTGGAGGGAGCCACCTGCGTACGGCCACAGGAGAACGCTGGTGGAGAACACCATATTGTCCATCATCCTCCAATGCTCCTGTCTCCCCGTCTGCCACCCCCCCC